GACTGATGTTGTAGTGGCCAGGCTTAGGCTTGGTTACAAGTACTGACTGATGTTGTAGTGGTCAGACTTAGGCTTGGTTACAAGTACTGACTAATGTTGTAGTGGCCAGGCTTATGCTTGGTTACAAGTACTGACTAATGTTGTAGTGGCCAGGCTTAGGCTTGGTTACAAGTACTGACTGATGTTGTAGTGGTCAGGCTTAGGCTTGGTTACAAGTACTGACTGATGTTGTAGTGGCCAGGCTTAGGCTTGGTAACAAGTACTGACTAATGTTGTAGTGGTCAGGCTTAGGCTTGGTTACAAGTACTGACTGATGTTGTAGTGGCCAGGCTTAGGCTTGGTAACAAGTACTGACTAATGTTGTAGTGGTCAGGCTTAGGCTTGGTTACAAGTACTGACTGATGTTGTAGTGGCCAGGCTTAGGCTTGGTAACAAGTACTGACTGATGTTGTAGTGGCCAGGCTTAGGCTTGGTTACAAGTACTGACTGATGTTGTAGTGGCCAGGCTTAGGCTTGGTTACAAGTACTGACTGATGTTGTAGTGGCCAGGCTTAGGCTTGGTAACAAGTACTGACTGATGTTGTAGTGGCCAAGCTTAGGCTTGGTTACAAGTACTGACTGATGTTGTAGTGGCCAGGCTTATGCTTGGTTACTAGTACTGACTGATGTTGTAGTGGCCAGGCTTAGGCTTGGTAACAAGTACTGACTGATGTTGTAGTGACCAGGCTTAGGCTTGGTTACAAGTACTGACTGATGTTGTAGTGGCCAGGCTTAGGCTTGGTTACAAGTACTGACTGATGTTGTAGTGGCCAGGCTTAGGCTTGGTTACAAGTACTAACTAATGTTGTAGTGGCCAGGCTTAGGCTTGGTAACAAGTACTGACTGATGTTGTAGTGGCCAGGCTTAGGCTTGGTTACAAGTACTGACTGATGTTGTAGTGGCCAGGCTTATGCTTGGTTACAAGTACTGACTGATGTTGTAGTGGCCAGGCTTAGGCTTGGTTACAAGTACTGACTGATATTGTAGTGGCCAGGCTTATGCTTGGTTACAAGTACTGACTGATGTTGTAGTGGCGAGGCTTAGGCTTGGTTACAAGTACTGACTGATGTTGTAGTGGCCAGGGTTATGCTTGGTTACAAGTACTGACTGATGTTGTAGTGGCCAGGCTTAGGCTTGGTTACAAGTACTGAGTAATGTTGTAGTGGCCAGGCTTATGCTTGGTTACAAGTACTGACTAATGTTGTAGTGGTCAGGCTTAGGCTTGGTTACAAGTACTGACTGATGTTGTAGTGGCCAGGCTTATGCTTGGTTACAAGTACTGACTAATGTTGTAGTGGTCAGGCTTAGGCTTGGTTACAAGTACTGACTGATGTTGTAGTGGCCAGGCTTAGGCTTGGTAACAAGTACTGACTGATGATAACAACTCAACAACAACAAGAACCCACAAAGTTGCTGACAGTGACCCTTAAAACCCAACAACAAGAACTCACAAAGTTGCTGACAGTGGCCCATAAAACCCAACAACAACAACAAGAACCCACAAAGTTGCTGACAGTGACCCTTAAAACCCAACAACAACAAGAACCCATAAAGTTGCCAACAATGACCTTTAAAACCCAACAACAACCCACAAAGTTGCTGACAGTGGCCCTTAAAACCCAACAACAACAAGAACCCACAAAGTTGCCGACAGTGACCCTTAAAACCCAACAACAACAAGAACCCACAAAGTTGCTGACAGTGACCCTTAAAACCCAACAACAAGAAGAACCCACAAAGTTGCTGACCATGGCCCTTAAAACCCAACAACAACAAGAACCCACAAAGTTGTTGACAGTGGCCCTTAAGACCCAACAACAACAAAAACCCACAAAGTTGCTGACAGTGGCCCTTAAAACCCAACAACAACAAGAACCCACAAAGTTGCTGACAGTGGCCCTTAAAACCCAACAACAAGAACCCACAAAGTTGCTGAGTGACCCTTAAAACGCAACAACAACAAGAACCCACAAAGTTGCTGATAGTGACCCTTAAAACCCAACAACAACAGGAACCCACAAAGTTGCTGACAGTGGCCCTTAAAACCCAACAACAAGAACCCACAAATTTGCTGAGTGACCCTTAAAACCCAACAACAACAAGAACCCACAAAGTTGCTGACAGTGGCCCTTAAAACCCAACAACAAGAACCCACAAAGTTGCTGACAGTGACCCTTAAAACCCAACAACAACAAGAACCCACAAAGTTGCTGACAGTGGCCCTTAAAACCCAACAACAACAAGAACCCACAAAGTTGCTGACAGTGGCCCTTAAAACCCAACAACAACAGGAACCCACAAAGTCGCTGACAGTGGCCCTTAAAACCCAACAACAAGAACCCACAAAGTTGTTGACAGTGACCCTTAAAACCCAACAACAACAAGAACCCACAAAGTTGCTGACAGTGGCCCTTAAAACCCAACAACAACAGGAACCCACAAAGTCGCTGACAGTGGCCCTTAAAACCCAACAACAAGAACCCACAAAGTTGCTGACAGTGACCCTTAAAACCCAACAACAACAAGAACCCACAAAGTTGCTGACAGTGGCCCTTAAAACCCAACAACAACAACAAGTCTAAGAAGAAAGATAATCTTCAAGTTAGTAAGATAATTTTAAGTATAATTTTACACACCTGGATGATTACAATGATCTTAGATAACAACTTAGGTGTAACTTACCCAGGATGATGTGTAAGACATATGTGCAACACTTAGGTGTCTTTATTCTGCAACGTTTAACCTACATAGGTGACCCCGTAGGTACCTGGGTGTTAGTGGACTGGTGTGGGTCACATTCTGGGTGTTAGTGGACTGATGTGGGTCACATCCTGGGTGTTAGTGGACTGGTGTGGGTCATATCCTGGGTGTTAGTGGACTGGTGTGGGTCACATCCTGGGTGTTAGTGGACTGGTGTGGGTCACATCCTGGGTGTTAGTGGACTGGTGTGGGTCGCATCCTGGGTGTTAGTGGACTGGTGTGGGTCACATCCTGGGTGTTTAGTGGACTGGTGTGGGTCACATCCTGGGTGTTAGTGGACTGGTGTGGGTCACATCCTGGGTGTTAGTGGACTGGTGTGGGTCACATCCTGGGTGTTAGTGGACTGGTGTGGGTCACATCCTGGGTGTTAGTGACTGTGTGGCTCACATCCTGGGTGTTAGTGGACTGGTGTGGGTCACATCCTGGGTGTTAGTGGACTGGTGGGGGTCACATCCTGGGTGTTAGTGGACTGGTGTGGGTCACATCCTGGGTGCTAGTGGACTGGTGTGGGTCACATCCTGGGTCGCTAACGGTACTTTTTTTGATGGGTCACATACCTGTGTGTCAGTGGACTGGTGTGCGGTCACATCCTAGTGTGAAGTGGACTGGTGTGCGGCTCACATCCTGGGTGTAGTGGATGAGTGACGTCGGTTCACATCCTTGGGTGTTAGTGGACTGGTGTGGGTCACCTCCTGGGTGTTAGTGGGACTGGTGTGGGTCACACCTGGTGTGGTTAGTGGACTGGTGTGGGCCACATCCTGGGTGTTAGTGACATGGGTGTAGGTCCATCTGGGTGTTAGTGACGTCGTGTGGGTCACTCCTGGGTGTTAGTGGACTGGGTGGGTACATCCTGGGTGTTAGTGGGACTGGTGATGGGTGTCATATCCCTGGTCCACTAACACCCAGGTACTATTTGGTTTGATGGGTGGATGAACAACCAGTGTAAGGTAAACATTGTCCATGTTTCTACCTCGCTGGGAATCGAACCCGGACATCACTGTGTGAACGTGAGCTTTAGCCATCCAGGCCACAGATGCACGTCCAGCGAGCATAGGATGTAAGACGAGTCCTCATGCACACTACCCTTGAAGGGTTAGTTTTGAGGTGGTCAGTCCCCTCAGCCTGTGATGCGTTCTTCAAGAACCCTGAAGACACATAAAGTCTAGTACTCACCCAGCCATGGATGTGGTTCACGTACGTTGGTTTACGTGAGGCCAGCAGTAACAACCTGGTTGATCAGTCCCTGATCCACCATGAGGTCTGGTCATGGATTAGGCTTGAGTCGTGGAGGTTGGGATTACGTTGCCAGCATTCTGAAGGAAGGGTGGCAGATGTTGGGGCTTGAAGGGTCATCTGTCCATGATCCGTGGCTTGGTCGGCAACGCTCTGGCTTCATACTGAGTGTCCGTGGCGGGTTCCTCGGCAAGGGTGGGAACATTGGGTGTGTTTCCTTACATATGTTGTCAGTGTTCACCTAGCAGCAAGTAGGTACCTGGGTGTTAATGGACTGGTGTGGGTTGCATCCTGGGGGACAAAATTGAAGGACCACAATGGGAATAAGACAGAAAGTCCCCTCAATGACACACTAACTTTCTTGGGTTATCTTGGGTGGCTAACCCTCCGGGGTTAAAAATCCCAACAAAATCTCTTTGCACTGTGATGTCAGTTCCTTTCTGACAAAACAACGACTGAATGAATGATAGTGAAAGTGTTTGTTTCATCGGGTCACCCACCTCAATGGGAATGTAAAAAAAAATGGTGAGCACTAGGAGTACAAGGCTAATAAGGCTCAGTTTATCTTTCAGAGCGATGGTGGTGGTGCTGTGGCAGAACTGGGGGGAACATGTTGGTCGCCAGTTGCCACATTTCTTATCCGGGGCAACACTTACCGATGTGACCATTTCTGTAGGAGCCAGAAGCATCAAGGCTCATCGCATTATTTTAGCCTTCTTCAGCCCTTTCTTTCGAGTAAGTTTTATGCTCAGTACCTCACTGAATGTACATAAATGTAATGTGCACATTTAGAAGGAATTGATTTTTAATGTTATGAGTGAAAGTTACTTGATCTGGCATGAGTGGAGCAAACTTTTTGGAATTTGTTCACTGAAGGGGTTATATGAGGCATATGGCCAAAATCCGGGTTAGTGAACGAATTTATTCCTTAATGTTTTGTTTGTTTGTGGGATGTGTAAGTCAGGCTTTGCTGTTGTATGTTACTGTGTTACTGAATTGCAATTTTTTTTGTTACATGTATTTTCAATTTGCTTTCAGATTTTTTTAATTTTTTTACATAATTTTGAAAAGGTCGTTAACGTGAAAAGTTGTGAAATGAGCCATTGTAAAGTGGGACTAACCTGTATAATGGTGCCAGTACCTTCGTATACATGTGATGCATGGTCTTGAACTATTGCACTGAGAAGGCAGCTTGGAGGCAGTGGTAATATTGTATCTGAGATCAATATAGGTGTGCAAATATTATGCAGAAAATAAACATGAATAAATTAAAAGACAGTGTGATTCAAGAAATCGTAATAAAACGATTGCAAATGGGTGGGGTGAGTTGAAGCCCCACCCGTTCCATGGTTTAAAAGACAGTATGCTGGTTGAAATACATATACATACATGGAAGAGCAGAATAGAAGTTGAGATTGTCTGGTCAGTGTAGAAAGGAAGGAGCAAAAGATAGGTTGATCAAGAGAATGTATAAATGTGAAAGAGATCAAAGATATATGGGATGGTAGATGTAGGGTTGGAGGTATATTTTGTAAGTTAAAGCCTTGATTATCCAGTGTGTAAATTGGAGTGACTGTGGGTAGGGGTGGATCTGTTATGAAACTAATGAAGCTTAAGTTTTTGGGCCCCTAATCCCAGAGGGGCCCCAGAAGCAATTTTAGTTCACATTGCTTAAAAATTTTGGGTCTACTGTATGAGAAGGAGCCCCCATAACAGTTCAAGCTTCAGGGCCCCTAATCCTGGAGGGGTCCCAGAAGCGACTTTAGTCCACATAGCTTAAAATTTTTGGGTCTGCTGTATGAGAAGGGGTTGCGAAGGGGCCCCCATAACAGTTCAAGCTTCAGGGCTCCAAAAATGTAGGTCTGCCGCTGACTGTGGGCAAGGTGTTTGAAGTTATTTGAGATACCGTTGGAGTGTGAGCATGATAATATCTATGAAAGGATTCAGGTAACAGTTCACCAGGCTTGAGATCTGGAGGTAGAGGTTGTGGTGTTTGTAAGCAGTGATGCTGCTGTTCAGTGGGTCACTGCATCATGTATTTCTGGGAAGGAAGCTAGAGGGTCAGTAATGGTGAATGTATTATTTGTAAGGTGATCTTGATAACTGTCTTAACATCAATTATTGATAGATTATTTGTATTAACTGAGCTTGGCATTTTATCAGAAAATGTTTGAGGAAGTTAGCGAAGAACGTCCAATGGTGGTAGTGTTTCCAGGCGCTGACTTTGATGCATTACAAGTCATCATCGCCTACATGTACCGTGGACAGGTGGGATCCTCAACTGTTGCATCATGTCTTCTTCATGCACTATTAGTCTAACATATAGAAATATACCTTGATGGGGAAGTGGAAAAGAATTCTTCCATAAGCCTTGCATGTCGTAAGAAGCAACTAAAATGCCGGAAGCAAGGGGCTAGTAACCCCTTCTATAAATTACTAAATTTAAAAAGGAAAACTTTTGTTTTTCTTTTTGGGTCACCCTACCTCGGTGGGATACGGCTGGTGTGTTAAAAAAAATAGAAATACATATACTGTACATGTTTGTTTTGACATTGCTACTCTAACATCTTCTGTACTAAAATTACCTTACTAGTTGACTTTTCACATGAATTATCCCTTTTGATTGAGTATTATAATAATATTGAAAATAGTAATAGCCTGTATATTTTTAAATGTTCATAGAATTTATAATTATTGGGTTTTCAGTTTGTGTATAGTCAGCAATCCTTTATTTATGCGCTGTATTTTGAGTAGACATAACTAGGCCTAAGCTGTGAAGGTATTATATGGTGGGAGATTATTTTGTAAGCTTTATGATAAACACTTCCAAGTACAGTGGTACCTCGGTATGCGACCCTAATTCGTTCCAGAAGGCTGTTAGTGTTCTGATCTGTTTGAATACCAAACGAATTTGTTCCCATAAGGAATAATGTAAAGTAGATTAATCCGTTTCAGACCCTGAAAAATACACTTACAAAAGCAATAATAAACTTACATAATTGTTTGAGTTGGGAGCTTGTCGTATACCGAGGTATCACTGTATCTACTCTTGAATTTATTATTTCCCTGGAATAAGAATCTGTTACCATCCCACAGTATCATGGCTGCAAAAATTCACAACTAACTGACAATTTGGACAGGGAACATTAGATAAGTTTTCAGTCCATTGATGATTGTGAGTTACAACAGGTACAGCATCGATTTTCTGGACGTTTGGTTCCAAAGCCTTTCCGGATTACTGATTTTCCGCCTTTAGAGAGCACAGTATTCCTTGGTCTTGGGGTTGGATAAGTGACATACAGTTTGGTGGTAAATACACTGCCACAGAAATTTCAAGTTCTTGCTTGTAAATTTATATGGTTACAGACCATCAGTGTCCAAAAAATCGGTGTTGTACCTGTAATATAATATGTAAGCTTTCAACTAATATTTTAAAAATTATGAAATATTTGTTACTGTAATAAATAACATTAATGTCTGCATGAATAACTCATTACAATTGTGACTGGATATAAACATATCAATAGTTCATTACCACTGTAATGAATTACTTACATACTTCAAGCTATCAATACTTTGCAGCCCAATCTGTGGACCCATTATGTACCTTTCCATTGTTGAGGCACAGTCTTTGGACCTATTATGTACCTCTGTATTGTTGAGGTACAGTCTGTGGACCTATTATGTACCTCTGCATTGTTGAGGCACAGTCTGTGGACCCATTATATAGTACCTCTGTACTGTTGAGGTACAGTCTGTAGACCCATTATGTACCTCTGTACTGTTGAGGTACAGTCTGTGGACCTATTATGTACCTCTATACTGTTGAGGTACAGTCTCTGGACCCATGATTTTTCTAAAAAAAAAAGTGGAATTATGTTTTTCTTGACATTTACAGGTGAATGTCCTGCCTGACCTTCTGCCGCATGTTATTGAACTTGCCAAGGTACTCAAGGTTAAGGGACTCGTTGAACTTCCTGTAAGTATCAGGTCTATTTTTTGTTGTTGTCACATCTGTTTCCCATAAAGATATAGTGAACCAGTGAAAGAAACACATTCACCATCACTTGTTCAGTTCCCTCCTAGGTGGGGTGACACCACCAACAGTCATTCAATAGCTGTTTTGACATAAGTGTAAGGATGATGGTGCTACTTCAGTTATCACACCATCATAAAGTTGAAATGTCACCATCATACAGTACTGTAGTACATTTATTGATAGAATAAACTCGTACTATTCACTTATTTACTTGGAAATTATCCCACGGATACAGGGGTTCTACTATTTAATGTCTTCCTGTATAATTTCAGGCGCAATTGGATTCTGTCATTGCTGAGTCAGCAAGGAAAGTTGGAGTTAACCACGAGGACATTACACATGAAAATGAAGGTAATAATCACCGGCATTCACAATTGTTTGAACACGTGTTTATTTTCATATCATTTGAGAAGCTCTAAATTCAAGAACACAACTTAGCTGTAAGTTAGAAGACAAGAACACAACTTGTCTGTAAGTTAGAAGACAAGAACACAACTTGTCTGTAAGTTAGAAGACAAGAACACAACTTGTCTGTAAGTTAGAAGACAAGAACACAACTTGTCTGTAAGAAGGGACGTTGAAAATAAATGGTATAAAATACCGACACAATGGAAACACAAACACATATGCAGTTTAATGTGATCCTTTATTGACAACGTTTGCCCACACAGTGGGCTTTTTCAAGTCACAAACAGATCTGTTTGTGACTTGAAAAAGCCCATTGTGTGGGCGAAACGTTGTCAATAAAGGATCAAATTAAACTGCATATGTGTTTATATTTCCAAGAAGGGACGTCTTATGTGAATGACAATAAATGAATAATTTACCAAGCAAACTTATTTTTACTTTTTGATCTATTGTACTGTATAAAAATGCAGAGGTCCATAGCCGACAAACAGATGAGTTGAGCATATAGAAAATAAAAGTATTATTGTCTGTAGTATTACTTTCTATACACTCGACTCATCTGTAAGTTAAATGTGTTTGTCAGGTTTGTTTGCACTGAGGCTTGGTGTATGTTTGTTAGTGTGGGTGTTTGCAATGTACAGTGGACCCCCGCATAACAATCACCTCCGAATGTGACCAATTATGTAAGTGTATTTATGTAATTGCGTTTGTACGTGTATGTTTGGGGGTCTGAAATGGACTAATCTACTTCACAATATTTCTTATGGGAACAAATTCGGTCAGTACTGGCACCTGAACATACTTCTGGAGTGAAAAAATATCGTTAACCGGGGGTCCACTGTACTGCATTTGTATGGTGACCTGGAGAGAGTTTTGGGGGTCAATGCCCCCACGGCTCGGTCTGAGACCAGGCCTTGTTGTGGGGCCACCTGTATTGTAGATTATTCGTTAAATATGATTTGCTAGTCAGAAGTCAAAGATTTGTTTCCATGTGATACAATGTTCGTACAGAGATGGGTGACATTTGGTTGTGCATGCAGAAAGCCCTTGGTTATGCAGAGCATTTCAAGCAAGCTAAAATTAAACTTATGGTTACAATGGCAGTAATTATTTTTTTATTATATACAGTGGAACCTCAAATATCGAACTTTCTTCGGTCCAGAAGTCTGTTCGAGTGCCTTTACCGAATGAATTTATTCCCATCAGGAATAATGTAAATTAGATTAGTCCATTTCAGACCCTTAAAAATACACTTATAAAAGCACTTACAAAAATACACTTACATAATTGGTTGTGTTGGGAGCAGTTCGATTTTTGAGGTTCCACTGTACAGTGATTATGTATGAGTGAGGTGAAAGTGTTGAATGATGATGAAAGTATTTTCTTTTTGGGGATTTTCTTTCTTTTTGGGTCACCCTTCCTAGGTGGGAGACAACAGACTTGTTAAAAAAAAAATACAGTTAGTAACCCACTTATACAGCAGGTTAGGTTCTGGGCGACTGCTGTAAATCGAAAATCACTGTAAAGTAAATCATAACCTTTTTCCACTTTCAAATGCATATAAAAGCCTGATAGCATGTTTACACTATCATATATTAAGTGTGAAATAAAGCTAGGCCTAAAATCTGCATATACAGTACACACACACATGGTGGCTCGGTGGCCTGGTGGCTAAAGATCCCGCTTCACACACAGAGGGCCCGGATTCAATTCCCGGCGGGTGGAAACATTTCGACACGTTTCCTTACACCTGTTGTCCTGTTCACCTAGCAGCAAATAGGTACCTGGGTGTTAGTGGACTGGTGTGGGTGGCATCCTGGGGGACAAGATTAAGGACCCCAATGGAAATAAGTTAGACAGTCCTCGATAACGCGCTGACTTTCTTGGGTTATCCTGGTTGGCTGACCCTCCGGGGTTAAAAATCCGAATAATCTTATCTTACTTTCTTATCACATTTACTTACGACATTTTTGTCCCTTAGCTGAAATAGGTAGGGTGTTATATAGTTTATTGGGGGAAGTTGACACAATGGAAAAATAGAACTATACACTGACTTCTTGGGGTACATGTGGTGACCCCCGGTTAAAAATTCAAATGAAATTATTATTTCAGTCCATTACTTACGAATTTGTCCTATAAGGAAATATTTAAGTAGGAAGTCTAATTAGAATAACTATAATGTAAAACGGCATTAGCAATATAATAACACTACAAAGCAAAGTTGTAGTAAATCTGTAAGAAGTGCGAGGGTCTGTAAGAAAATGCTGTAAAGAAAACTGCAAAGCAAAGTGCTGTAAAGAAAAGTGCTGTAAAGAAAAGTGCTGTAAAGAAAAGTGCTGTAAAGAAAATTTGTTTGACACTGTAAAGAAAAAGGTTGTAAATGAAGTGCCTTAAATCAAGTGGCCCCCTGTATGATGGACATAAAGGTCTTGCAAACACACCAGTTGTTCCTTCAAGGGGTGGTTTCGTTTTACATAGTGTTGTTATAGCAGCATAGACCTATCCTGTGGGTCGCATCTAAAGATTAAAGGACCATAATAGTGACGTCCGTGGACTGACTTTCCAAGGGTTTTGTGCTGACCGGGTTAAATCAAGAATTACTTAAGGCCTTACAAAGTAGAACAGACAAGCAGAAAATTATTTCTTTAAAGTTGAATCAATCATTCACTTCTTTCAGACAATGAAATATGCCTTGAAGACGAAAGTATGGTTGAACTGGAAGTTACTGCTGCTGACTCGGAGCCTCCCGTCTCCTCTCTAACCCCAGGAGAGAATTCTCAGAGCTCTGTGGCTATTATGAGCGATGCTCCAGTCATAACGTCGTCCGCCGTGCTGTCGGCACAACAACACAGCCAGCCACACACACACAGAGTCACTACAGCAAGTACTGTTGGTAAGCTGCAGGAGCTCATTTATATGTTTTTAGAAAAGTTGAAATCATTTTATATCTTGACTAAAATATTTTAGAGACTTGTGCACTTTTTTTAATATTTTTTTACTATATTGGACATTAAGCACCAAGGTAGGGCAACCCAAAGAAATATATTCACTATAAAACACAAATACCCACACACAAGATAACGAAACTCATGATAATGTTTTGGTCCGACTTGAACCATTAACTAGTCACCCCCAAGTTGGACCAAAACATCATCACAACTGTCATTCTCCTATGTGCAGGTATTTGCGTATTGTTCCAGTCAAGGTATTGTGCCATTTTATTCTGTATATTTATTATGCATCACTATCACTTATACAATAGCTGAATAAATTACCACAATAATAAGTATACAGCGGACCCTCGGTTAACGCCTTTAATCCATTCCAGAGAGCTAGCCTTTTACCGATTTATCCTTTAACCGAATTAATTTTCCCCATAACAAATAATGGAAATCCAATTAATCCGTTACATATACCCAAAAGTATTAAACAAAATAATTTTTTTACATGAAATATATATTTCCCTACACAGAAAACAATGATGCATGAAGAATAAAACAATAATAACATCACACTTACCTTTATTGTGGACTTGTTGATGAGTGATGAGACGGGAGGAAGGCAGAGGATGAAGGTGTTCTGTTTGGAATGGGAATCCCCCTCCATAAAAGCTTCAGGTAACAAGTCTTTTTCTGGCTTGTGTCCCGGGAGTGCTTTTTTCTCCTGAGTAATGTAGGTCCTGTTTGGCATTTTCTTCCTAAACAGACCTGTTTCGTCACAATTGAACACTTGCGCGGTTTTAATTTTTCAGCCCCTATATACCCCTTAAAGTCCTGCACATATTTTTCAGCCGCTTTTTTTGTCAGAACTGGTAGTTCTCACCATGCCTTATCATACCATACCACCATCACAACCACTACCACCCTCTACCACCACCACTACCACCCTCTACCACCACCACTACCACCCTCTACCACCATCACTTTCATATTTTTCTACAAACTTTTTCTTAAATTATTTGTGTTTCTCACATTCTTTACCATAGGGCTGGAACTTGAAGCTTTCTTGAGGCCTATAGTGGCTTATTTAGCAGTTACAAGCACCAAAAACAATGGAATAATACAAAATATATAGCATGTACAATCAGAATCGTCCTCACTGGCTTTGTAAACATTGGCACACTTCTGGTAGACTGGGTTACTGGCTGGGCCCGCTCATGGCGCCCAGCAGATACGTTCGGGACGAAAACTCCTAACCGAGTTTTTAGGCGTTATCTGAGCCAATTTTTTTTACACCAAAGCAAGGCGTTATCCGATTTTGAGGCTATCCGATCCAGGTGTTAACCGGGGGACCTGATTACCTGTAGACTGTTCTGAGAGTCACTTTCCCCCCACAGCCCAGTCTCTGCTGAAGCTGTTGCTGGTGGCTGCATGCAGTCCAGCATGCGCACCACAGCCCGCCTGATCAAGCTGTTGCTGGTGGCTGTGTGCAGTCCAATGTGCACACCACAGCCCGCCTGATCAAGCTGTTGCTGGTGGCTGTGTGCAGTCCAGTGTGCACACCACAGCCTGCCTGATCAAGCTGTTGCTGGTGGCTGCATGCAGTCCAACATGTGCACCACAGCCCACCTGATCAAGCTGTTGGTGGTGGCTGTGTGCAGTCCAGCGTGCACACCACAGCCCAGCTGATCAGGCTGTTGGTGGTGGCTGCGTGCAGTCCAGCGTGTGCTCACAGCCCGGCTGATCTGAAAATGACTATGAATTCATTAAATTTTCTCTCTCCACCTTGCACTTTAGTTTTTCATCTCCTGACACCACTTACCAATTTATCCGTTTCTTCCCCTTCCTCTGTATTCACTTCTCCCTCCATCCTTGTACTTCTTTTACCTCAATATGTATGGAGGCAAATGGTTTTTAGGACTTGTCGTGGTGTTGGAGTGTAAGCAAGGTAACATTTATGAAGGGATCCAGGGAAACCTTTAGGCCAGACATGATTCCTGGAGATGGGAAGTACAGTGCCGGCACTCTGAAGGAGGGGTGTTAATGTTTCAGTTTTATAACTGTAGTGTAAGCATGCCTCTGGCAAGACAGTGACGGAGTGATGGAGAATACAGTACATTTTTTTTTTTTTTCAACAAGTCGGCCGTCTCCCACCGAGGCAGGGTGACCCAAAAAGAAAGAAAATCCCCAAAAAGAAAATACTTTCATTATCATTCAACACTTTCACCTCACTCAACACTTTCACCTCACTCACACATAATCACTGTTTTTGCAGAGGTGCTCAGAACACAACAGTTCAGAAGCATATACGTATAAAGATACACAACATATCCCTCCAAACTGCTAATATCCCGAACCCCTCCTTTAGAATGCAGGCATTGTACTTCCCATTTCCAGGATACAAGTCCGGCTATATAAAAATAACCGGTTTCCCTGAGTCCCTTCACTAAATATTACCCTGCTCACACTCCAAGAGCTCGTCAGGTCCCAAATACCATTCGTCTCCATTCACTCCTATCGAACACACTCATGCACGCTTGCTGGAAGTCCAAGCCCTTCACCCACAAAACCTCCCTTACCCCTTCCTTCCATCCTTTTCGAGGACAACCCCTACCCCGCCTTCCTTCTCCTACAGATTTAGATGCTCTCCATGTCATTCTACTTTGATCCATTCTCTCTAAATGACCAAACCACCTCAACAACCCCTCTTCAGCCCTCTGACTAATACTTTTATTAACTCCACACCTTCTCCTAGTTTCCACACTCCAAATTTTTTGCATAATATTTACACCACACATTGCCCTTAGACAGGACATCTCCACTGCCTCCAACTGCCTCCTCGCTGCTGCATTCACAACCCAAGCTTCACACCCATATAAGAGTGTTGGTTCTACTTTACTTTCATACATTCCCTTCTTTGCCTCCATAGATAACGTTTTTTGACTCCACATATACCTCAACGCACCACTCACCTTTTTTCCCTCATCAATTCTATGATTAACCTCATCCTTCATAAATCCATCTGCTGACATGTCAACTCCCAAGTATCTGAAAACATTCACTTCTTCCATACTCCTCCTCCCCAATTTGATATCCAATTTTTCTTTATCTAAATCATTTGATACCCTCATCACCTTACTCTTTTCTATGTTCACTTTCAACTTTCTACCTTTACACACACTCCCAAACTCATCCACTAACCTTTACAATTTTTCTTTAGAATCTCCCATAAGTGTGACCATGGCGTAATAGCGCACAAAATGCGCGCTAAAGGAATAACAGGAAAAGTCGGTCGATGGATCTATAATTTCCTCACTAACAGAACACAGAGAGTAGTCGTCAACAGAGTAAAGTCCGAGGCAGCTACGGTGAAAAGCTCTGTTCCACAAGGCACAGTACTAGCTCCCATCTTGTTCCTCATCCTCATATCCGACATAGACAAGGATGTCAGCCACAGCACCGTGTCTTCCTTTGCAGATGACACCCGAATCTGCATGACAGTGTCTTCCATTGCAGACACTGCAAGGCTCCAGGCAGACATCAACCAAATCTTTCAGTGGGCTGCAGAAAACAATATGAAGTTCAACGATGAGAAATTTCAAATTACTCAGATATGGTAAACATGAGGAAATTAAATCTTCATCAGAGTACAAAACAAATTCTGGCCACAAAATAGAGCGAAACACCAACGTCAAAGACCTGGGAGTGATTATGTCGAAGGATCTCACCTTCAAGGACCATAACATTGTATCAATCGCATCTGCTAGAAAAATGACAGGATGGATAATGAGAACCTTTCAAAACTAGGGAGGCAAGCCCATGATGACACTCTTCAGGTCACTTGCTCTATCTAGGCTGGAATATTGCTGCACTCTAACAGCACCTTTCAAGGCAGGTGAAATTGCCGACCTAAAAAATGTACAGAGAACTTTCACGGGCGCGCATAAACGGAGATAAAACACCTCAATTACTGGAGCGCTTGAGGTTTCTAAACCTGTATTCCCTGGAAACGCAGGAGGGAGAGATACATGATTATATACACCTGGAAAATCCTAGAGGGACTAGTACCGAACTTGCACACGAAAATCACTCACTACGAAAGCAAAGACTCGGGAGACGATGCACCATCCCCCCAATGAAAAGCAGGGGTTGTCACTAGCACGTTAAGAGACCATACAATAAGTGTCAGGGGCCCGAGACTGTTCAACTGCCTCCCAGCACACATAAGGGGGATTACCAACAGACCCCTGGCAGTCTTCAAGCTGGCACTGGACAAGCACCTAAAGTCAGTTCCTGATCAGCCGGGCTGTGGCTCGTACGTTGGTTTGCGTGCAGCCAGCAGCAACAGCCTGGTTGATCAGGCGCTGATCCACCAGGAGGCCTGGTCACAGACCGGGCCGCGGGGGCGTTGACCCCCGAAACTCTCTCCAGGTAAACTCCAGGTAAGTACAGTATCATCAGCAAAAAGTAACTGTGTCAATTCCCATTTTGTATTCGATTCCCCATAATTTAATTCCACCCCTCTCCCAAACACCCTAGCATTTACTTCTTTTACAACCCCATCTATAAATGTATTAAACAACCATGGTGACATTACACATCCCTGTCTAAGACCTACTTTTACCGGGAAGTATTCTCCCTCTCTTCTACACACCCTAACCTGAGCCTCACTATCCTCATAAAAACTCTTTACAGCATTTAGTAACTTACCACCTATTCCATATACTAGCAGCATCTGCCACATTGCTCCCCTATCCACTCTATCATATGCCTTTTCTAAATCCATAAATGCAATAAAAACGTCCCTACCTTTATCTAAATACTGTTCACATATATGCTTCAATGTAAACACTTGATCTACACATCCCCTACCCACTCTGAAACCTCCTTGCTCATCCGTAATCCTACATTCTGTCTTACCTCTAATTCTTTCAATAATAACCCTACCGTACAC